TTTCTGTTATTGTCTCCGAGATAAGCTTATTATGATAACAAACAGTGTACCGATATCATTTTTTGGTATTACCATTAACACAGCGAATAAATGAAATATTTTGTGAGCCGTAAGAGTCACCACTACCATGAGGGATGTATCCTGAGTACCTACCTTTGCATCTCTTTAACACACGAGATAAGGACTCGGCTGATACAAGAAGTGTGTGTAGAAAAAGACTTCGTCATTAGTTACCCATTCATCGTCTTAAAAAAAAAGTAAAATAGAAGTTTCAGGGCATGCTTCCAATATTTTTATTATCGTTGTGCAAATCCCATCCAGTCCATCATCTTCTCAAAGACCAATGATAGGGCCGCACCACCAACGACTCCAACAACAAGGCCAGGGTACTTATACGAGCGCCACCCATAGGCGCCACCGATGAGCCCACCGGACAGCGTCGGGTTCCACTGATCCTTCCGCCCACGGCGCTTCTCCAGTGCCACCTCGACGCCGCTGAAGAGAAGGGCGAAAAAGGCGAAATTGCCGCCCAATCGTCCCGCACTGCGCAGACTGTGCCGAAAAAAATCCGCCGTTCCCATACTCTGCGTTGAGGTCTCCGCGCTGATCATCGACCCGAAGAGGGAGAAGCCGTACCCCATGACGTAGCCACCGGCGGCGCTCATGAGGGCCGTGGTGAGAGTGCTATCCCTGGCGATTGCCAGCATCTTCTGCGTTGTATCTATTGGCGGCTGTGATTCAAGGATTGAGGTCATAACTAGTTGGTTGATAAATACGATTTATAAAGCTATGAGAATAATGAATATAGTTATTGTGGAGTTAGTAAGCGTTTTTCAGGTATGAGAGGAAGCCTCTTATATTGGCACAACTTATAATCAAGCCTGTAAATTTCCTTTGCGAAAGAAAGGAGTATTCTGCTTTTTATCCTTTAGGTTTCTAAAAATGTGAAAAAGGAAATAAAAGAATTTTGTCTAAGGGAGAAGCAAGTAAAAAAAAGGAACATATATGAAACAGTGAAGAGAAAAGAAAAGGTCAAATATACACAAAACTCAAGCCTAATGCCACATATAAAAGAAGGTGCTAATAAAGAGACAAAAAATGAAAACAAAAAGAAACTCTACATGTGTGCACCTCTTAGAAATTCACATTACCAGAAGAATAAATACGTGGAAAAAACATTGTCAGTGAAAACAGAATAAAGGAGAAGTCAATAATGGTCCCAAAAGTCTACTAAAGAAATATTCTTTTTCTGTCTTTGGCGCGCTTTCTTTCCGAAGTTGTTAAATAATCCATACCTTTTTGCTGCAGTTTGTCTCCTCTCACACCTTCCTTCCACACTCCGTTTGATTTGCTTACAGGGTGAACTCCGGTTTGCTTTCAACAACAGCTATACGTTGCTCTGACTCCTCTCCCAACACTTGAAACTGAAAAATACCAACAAAATCAGAGTACCCCGAGAGAATACGCAGTCGTAGCGCTTGAATTCCTTTGCCATTGGTTTGAGGATCTAGATCCACAACCTCAGTCTGGATGCCATAAACAATCGCTGTCTCGGCGGTTTCCCCGTTGAAAGGCAGTTTCCTGCTGCTGAGGCTCGAGCTCAAATCTTGTGGCTCATCGGTTGGGCGTTTATGCTTACATTCTATCAGAGTGCCGCGTTCCAGCGTACGTTCTAGGAGGGGGGTAAAGGAGCCATGATTTTGAGTGCTGCTCTCTAGAATGATGTCTTTTGCATCCTGGAGTATAAAGCGCACAGAAGAGATGTCCGCTCTGCTTGCACAAGTATCGAAGATAATCTCATGCGGAAAGCAACCAGTTGTAAGTACGAACGACGGCGTTGCATTCTTTGGCTCGAGTATATTGCTGATAAAAAGGTCGTCATTACAAAATGTAGCGAAGGAAACCTCTAATTTTACGCGATTTTGACCACCTTTGCTCGACATGTCGCCGTTTCGGTATTAAGGTAATAAATTTATTTCGTACTAGTATTTTCTTCTTCAGTTATATTAATCTAAGCCTAAAATCACATAAAATGACAAGGTACAGATTGATACTTTTAATTGGATAGCAAAAAAAAGAGTCTCAAGGCCCATAAAAAACGCGCTCCGATACCAGAAGTGTTCTAAGAAATCCATTTTGTATATTTTAAAAGAGAAATAAAAATGATAGTCGTTTGAGAGACCCACACTGATTATCCCCTCTAGACATTTCGTTCTTATTTTTTAGTACCCACACCTTAACCTTCCACCAAGTATCCTAAACACATCCCTAAGTATGGTGTATGCATGTGTCTTAACCCACGCGTCAAGACAAGTTGCGTCGTTTTTTCGCAGCACCAGGGCGTTTTCCCCGCCGCGGCGGCCCCAGATCCCAGTCTCTTGATTCGCGCACGACCTGTTGGGTCGGCCTGTTGAGGTTCCCCACGCTTGAGACGTCCCACTGGCTTCGCCCGCGCCTGCTCTCGCGCACCGCGGAGACCCGCTCCGCGTTTGCCTCTTCCCGCGCGACCTCGCGCCTTGTCTTGTTGAAGACCCGCAGCGTCCCGGTCGCGATGTCGTAGCGGCCGGCCTGCTTGAGAGGGGTGGGATCGCCCACACGGCGGAGCAGATGGGCACGCTGCAGCTGCCGCCGCGCGAACTGCCGGACGCGGCGGTCCTTCGCGGCGTGCAGGGCACCGCCCTCACGG